CACCCACACAGAGACACACACACACACAGAGACACACACCCACACACGCACACACCCACACACACACACACACACACACACACACACACACACACACACAAAAGCTGGGTGCGTTTGGTAAACAGAGAGAGTTCTCCATGCACCTTCTTGATGCGGGCGTAGTCAATGAGGCGGGCATAGGCGCTGGTGCCAGCGATGATGAGCTTGGGCCTGAACAGCTTGGCCGTCATTTCCATCTGGTCGTAGTCTATGAGTCCTGTTGTAGTCTGCGGAGAAACGAAGAGGGAGACAGATTGGGAGACAAAAAAGAGGCGGAGGATGAATATGGGAATATTAAAGGGAGAGTAAGGGTCAGGAGGAAAGAAAAAAAAAAGGACAAAAGAGGATGAGAAAAAGTTGTCAGATGAAGAGCAAACATATCAACTCGAAAGAGTTTTTTTTCCATTTGAAGCTCATTTGAAGCAGCTGCATTTGAAGTACTTTGGCTACCTTAAAAGGGGGAAGGAATTTATGGAAGGGAGACATTTCAACCCATCATATCAACGAAGAAGATTGAGCAATTGCAGTAATGCACCCCTACTTATCCAAATTCAGCCTTTCAGGGATCTACTCAACTGGTGTGATGAGGCTGAACAGATCAGAGGTTGGTTTGGAGACTTTATCTGCTCGTTTCATTGGAATAAGAAATTTGAGATATGTTAGACAATCCATTATCCGGGGGATGAACATCTGAGTCACATGAAATGGAGTCAGACTGGACCAGTCAAATGACAAGTGTGCCTTGCGCCTGAACCTCCGGTTTCACGCGTCTACTCCCCCTCCAAGCGTCAGAGAGGAAAGACGGTACAGGGGAGAGAAAGACGGCAGGACGGAGCAGAAAAACAAAGTGGGAGACAGGAAGGATGGAGAATAAGGGAGACACGGACAAGAAAGAGAGAAGAGAAAAGAAGGTGGGAACGCTTTATTTAGACAACCTGATAATCTCCCATCTCCAGAGCACACCTATGGATGCCCCCTCACTCCATCAAGCTGCTCATTGTGAAGACAGAGCCAGCGGTGCTGGCCAGCCTGTCGATTTCCCATTATCTCTCTCGCAGAGGGGTCCTGCCTGCCCGTACATCAGCAGGTTTGGACACGCAGACTCTCACAGCCATCCATCAGCCGCTACCAACACCACCACACAACTATGACCCCAGGAATAAAATACTATGCACCAATACACGATGCGCCCATATCTACGGGACCCTGGTTGTGTACAGATTTCAATGCTGGTGGAAAACAGAGCACTTTGAATGTTGAACATGTATTAAACCAAGAGGACTGAAAGGCTGCATTGTGAGTGGAGAGGTTTACGCCCCTCTTTTGGCAGGAAGTGCTTGTTGGGCTGAAGTTTGGACACTAAAGCCCTACCCACACTGCCTTGTGTCATCCCTGTGGGGTCACAAAAGCAAACAGGATTTCCCCAAAAAAGGAAGCTTTTCTCCTACATTTTCTCTTTTTGGTTTATTTAAATCAATATCCTGTTTTTCTTCTTTTTTTCCTCGAAGAGAGCCTACAATATTTAACATAAATTTAGATATTTGTGCTCATTGTAGATTTGTAATTTCTTCTTCTTTTGTCAATGATTCCAACAGAAGTAGTTAAAAAAGAATGACCAATGTGTTGTTTCTCCAAGTTTTTACATTTGATAGCTTCAGATAAAGCTGACTGAAATCACTGTGTACTATATTGGCAATATATTAGTAACATTCTAAAACAAAGGTACCCAGTGTAACCATTTTCTCACAGTCACTATTACAGTGAATTGCAGGAGCAGCGCAAAACACCTTATACACAACATACTTCACGACATATTCACTTGTGAATATTCACACACAGTATTTGTTTGTCCAGCACAATTTCTTACCGACTGTAAAATCAGGGGAAGAAACTTACAAAGTAACAGATGATCAATAATACAACTGAACGATTGTACATAGTGCTGCAGCAGAACAAGCAATGCTTTGCACTGGCGAGTTTTAGACAATTGAAATGCCTGAAGCCTCGACACACGGGCAGTTGTGACCGACAGTACCGGTTCATGTGGTGGTCGGTTCATAAGTCAGTCAACCGACTCTGAAAACCGTGCCTACATTTGTCTTGACATTAAAAAAATGGAACTATTGGAATTAATAACCGTCTCATCTGACACTGAAAGAGGTTCACATTTAAATAATATTGAACCTCAGCTTTTATAACACACTTTTTTGGTGTTGTCCCATTCCCTTCACAACATGGTAGGTGATATCAGCAGAAGGGCTCTCTACTTACATTTAGCTTGTAAGGCATGGACTCAAAATAGATTGAGGTTGCAGAGATCCTCTTCGCGTCAGACATGTAGCCATGGGTCAGACTGGGGTGAGAGAGAGGAACATGTAAACAGATGGAAAGAAAAACACAAAGTTACATTACCTTGAAACCAACTTGATTTTTCTGGTGCAATTGGTGCGCGAGTTTTGACCAACAAAGAAACGAAGGCAGCTAAGAAAATGATGAGAAATTAGAGATTATAAGTGAGCGGGTGCAGGTCAAGAATAGAAGGAAAGCTGTGGTGACTACTCACTGTCCTCCGTCAGGCAGGTCCAGGCCCATGATGCGGTCATGGGGCTTGAGCACGGCCGTGTAGACGGCAAAGTTAGCGGGGGAACCGGAGTACGGCTGGACGTTGACCCCCCACAGAGCTGGGTCCAGGTCGAAGGACTCCAAGGCTCGTTTCTGACACAGCAGCTCAATTTGATCGACCACTTCTGCTCCACCGTAGTATCTGAGGGAATGGATGGAGACAAAGAGAGAGAGACCCTCGGGCCATTTAATAAGAGACGCATCACTCATGCAGATAACCTGCTGGATTAACTATAATATGATTTCAATTGTTATAAGTGGGGGTTTTTGGGCAGCAGGAAAAAAAAAAAAAAAGTTATAAACGATGATCTATCATCACCTTTTAACTTGATATGGCTATCTTTTTAGCAAATAGTTGCTTATTTAGACATTCAGCAGTTTCAGTGCAATATCATTCATTTTTTGGAGTTGTGATTTTACGCCAGCTAGACGCTAACGTAACCCACCGTACAGGTACTAACAAGTAGTGTACACCGGGTTTTTAGAGCCATTTCACTGGAAACATCTGCCTGAAAAAGAGCTTGTTGTGCAAGTGAACAAAAACAGTAAAGTTGAGGTTGGACAGCTAAACTAGTTGAAAGTCACTACGAAGCTCAGAGCAGATATTACAGAGTCTGATCCACTTTGTGACGTGTGGTGGGTGATTATGACCCTAATGACAGCATTGTGATTGTGAGTTGTGGGAATGACAGAGCAGAGGAAAGCAGAAAGACCGTGCCAAGTTCAATGCAATTATCGCACAGATAGCCTATAATGTTATACATTCATTATTCCGTTCTTTTATTTATTTAGCTGTTTTCCTCACAGACCAGTAGCAAATGCTTTGTGACCCGGTGTCGGTCCGCGGGCCGGTGATTTGGGGCTGCTGACTCAGAGTAATCTAGACCAACGTTAACTCAAAACTACCACAGCAAATTGGGGACATCTTAGGTGATAACGCTCATTCAGATGAAGGAGCAACAGATGGCTACTTTACAAACCACTCATTCAGTGAGATCATCCTTTAGTGTCATTGCATTTTAGTGCAAACAGCAGATGAGTAGGATGTGGGGGGGAAAAACATTAAAAATCAAAAAAACATTCAGTGGGAGGGAGATTTATGGTCGGCTTGTATTGCAAGGATCAAAGGCATCAAATGAGAAGCATTTCAAAACAGGTCAGCTCTCTGTTTGCAGCTGATAAATGTGAATTATCTGAGGGAAATACGAGAAAATAGGAAAACTGAAAATAGAAAACGTGCAACAACTGAATTCTTCCAATGTATGCCCTCAGGAATATTGTTTGGCAAAGCAGAGGCTGTGGATTATTTGCTGTGTGGTTGGCATGTACTATTACAGGGCAAGCTAGAGAACACAGTATAAACCAGTGTATGCGTGTTGATGTGTGCATGAATGCAACAAATATCCTGAAGCAGGGAATATCAACGGCGTTAATAAGCCGGGGTGTGGCTCAATAAACACACTCACCTTTTCCCTGGATAGCCTTCAGAGTATTTGTTGTTCAGACAGGAGCCCTGAGCTTCCAGAGCTGCTCGACTGCAGAAATTCTGTGGCGAGAACACACGCAAGCAAACACACACACACAAGCAGACACAGACACAGACACAGACACACACACACACACACACACACACACACTCAGATCAATGGCTTGAGTGGACAGAAGGGACAAGGATGGCAAATTAAAGTCTGTTAAGTGATAGTGAGAAATCCCCCTCCAGCTAAAGGCAATCATTACAGTATTGAACCTCTGGACTTCCATAGACTAACACTCTGCACTTCACAATGCTTATCGCCTCGCTGCTGGAGGATACAAGATAATGCAATAAACGTCTCTGCATGCTGAGATACATTGCTGTGGCCTTTTTTAATCATTTTGCAGAAAAACAAATTTTTGTAGGTATGGTTTGTTTGCTGCAAAAGGGGTATAATCGTACCCAAAAAGTGTTCTTTATATCTCGTCTGTGTGCTGGAAGATGAAAAGGCAAGTTAAGTATTTCTGTTTAATATGAAATATCAGTAACTTGTATTGGACTCACTGACACATTTCACTCGCCTGATTTCAGCAAAATGACATTAGAGCTAGACCAATTTTGATTAATATTTTAATAAACTTTATTGTTATGTCATAAAGTAAAAAAATACCAAATATTCCTTTGTTCTAGCTTTTCAAATGTAAGGATTTCTAAGTTTCTCTTTGACTAATGTAATAATGAACGTGTATTTGTGGGGGGTTATGACTGTTAGTTAGAAAAACAAGCAATTTGAAGACGTCAACTTGGGCTAAAAGAATTTGTCAGTTTCAAAGACCAAACGATTAATCAAGTCAATAAATGGCGGATTGAGTTATGATGAAAGTCATCTTTAGCTGCAGCTAACTGTTACGATGATACCGTTCTTTGAATTTCTTCTGCTGAGGATTTATTTTTTGAGGAGTGAATTGTTACTGTTGGTTGGAAGTTATTTTGGATTTTAAAAAGGTATTTTGTGGATGCTGGTGATGCAGAAACATCATCCAACTTGTTTCCAAATGTTGCTGCCGCAACAGATCCAAACGTCACTTCTCTCCTCTCCTCTCCACTCCACAGGGTTATTATACAAATGTGTATAGTATAGCACATTATGCAAAACAAACTCAGGGAAAGCAGTTATTTTATAGTAAGCAACCATGTTATGTGAAAAAACACAATCAAATATGCTATAAAAAACATGTTTCAATGTTTATATGATACGGACCAACACGAATACGTTTGGAGTGACCACCTGTTGCATGTACTTCACAATCCTGACTCTGTACAGTAACTGACCATGTGAACGTCTTCTGGTACGGCCCCCTGACACAACACTCTTACTGTATATTATCACACTGGCCAGTTATAAAGTCTGATACAAGAACAAATAGTACACTCTAGTGTCCACACTGTCTCCCTCGTTGAAGTGTGTGTGTGTGTTTATGCTAATGCTTCACCTAGAAGCCAAGAGGAGATCAAGGGAGATAACAGCTCCAGTAAAAGCTCTCTGCTGCGTCCATCTGTCATGCAGACAAGTGCATATATTATAAAAGGAAATGCATGTGCTTCTCAGCGCCTTTAAGTGTGTGTGCGCGTGTGTGTGTGCGTGTGTGTATGGACATGTATGGTCGTCTTTTCATTCAAGGAATTCCTCCCTGAGCCGTTACTTTGATGTGCCTGGCAGAGTGAGGTGGGGAGGAGGCAGGATGAAGATATCAGCTTTATCTCACACTAGAGCGGTCAGGCTTTGTGTAGCGAGGGGGCCGCTATACTCCACTGAAAAACTACTGTGGCGAAGAAGAAACAGGAGGAGAGAGACAGAACAATACAAGATAAAACCTCTTCTGCTCTTTTGAATAGTAACATTTTCCATTTCACACCATCCAGCCTTGGAATGGAAACAAAGAGTAACCCACATGTTTCTGCAACAACTGACGATCCTGGCTTACAAAGAGTACTGTATCCTGTGAGCGTTTGCACTACTTAGGAAGCTACATTTGAATACTATGAATTTATTCTTGGCAGAGTTCATGATATCCGTTTTATCATTTGTATGTCTGAGCCAAAAGGTCACAGTTTCATGACCCTAGCAAGCCCCTTAAACTTTTAACAAACAGCAAATATACTGCTGTAAAATATTGAAACATACAACAGCAAGATGAATTAGGAATAAATATGAATAAAGAATGAATACACTTGCAGTGTATGAATTTCAAATGCATTACCCATATCATTTTGTACTGGACATGCTGTGCGCATGGTATTTATCTCCAGAATGAGCGCTGATGAAGCACTGATAAGGGCTTCTCTATCAACGCTGCCAGCAGTGATCTGGGTAAAAAATAGATATCCATGAGGCTAGCAAGACGATTCATTTATCCAATCATTTTGGCAAAACATTAAATCAGACATGATGAGGTGTTCTCAGCCATCTCCATTGCCATCATACGGTGGAGGTGCTGCATTGAGTAAGTGTTTACATTGAATGTCTTTCTTTAAAAATTAGTAAAATCAATCGGAACAAAATGGTATAGGATCAGTCTTTATATTGTACTTAAGGCTGACTGAATGAAAACATATTTTCTCGGCTGTCAACTTCATGCCGGCATTTTTAAGGCATTGGGCAAATAATGTTCTTGACAGACTAATCAAGAGGTTGAAAGAAATGTCTACCATCCTTTCCTACATGAAGAGTGAAAAACATCGAGCAAGATGTCTTACCTCGGATGCAATGAGCTCCAATCCGCGGCACTGCCGGTCCTTCTCCTTCAGCATCAGATCCCACATCTCGGGGTCGTCCTCGGCCAGGCTTTCCTGGCCCGTCCATGGACGATCTTCTTCCACCGCGCGGGAGGCGGAGTGTGACTGTTGGCCATGCACACCGAGACGAACCGGGGCTCGCTGGCACAGTGGCTGTGAACAGGTGAGAGAGAGAGAGGGGAAAGGATCAACTGAAAGTAGTAATAGTTGTATACTGATAGAACAGTTATCGTCAACACATTTTCTAATCCTGGACCACTAAAGTGGGTCTCATGAGTACTGACGTATCAACCAAAACCACTGCTTTAATAAAAGTATGGTAACAGAGTAGGAGTGTGGCAGCTACAAAATGAGACAAATATGTAAAATGTGGGTGTGTAGAAGAGGAAAGATAATTAATAACATACATTTCCTAGTTATAGAGCTTTTCATCGGCATTCTGTTGCAAGGGCAACAGCTTTTGTCCAACTTTACTTCCTGTCCACTATTGCAACAACAAACATTGCAACAGGAAATACAAACATGTCCATTGAGAAGGTTTATGTTGTCATCTTTATTATCTATGAAGATTAAACCAGTGGGAGCTCCACCCGTAAAGACCAACCACTACGTGAAGAGACGATACAACAGAGAAATATGTTTCTACAGAATGCATTTGATCGTTTTACTTATTTGAGGTAACAACCTGATTTGTCGTATATACATAAGGAGACATTTGAAGTCCCCTCCTCTGTTCCTACACTCCGATATGGAGCCCGGTATAATTAGAAACTGGCGTGTTTGCATGATATCAATAATCAGCGTGGTTGTTCAATTATGCCTCTATCAGCACTTCCACAAACTGGGGGACTGACTTTTACAGCCCCAGTGTGCCGAAGGAGGCATATAGAGAACAGATTCAGCACTTCCCGCTTATCTAATCTGGACTGGGGCCGGCGAGTTCTGCTGCTGCTGCTGCAATGCCCGATCACGTGAGTGTGCAGAGTCCATACAGTTTTCATTGTCTCTTTTTGAAACGTTAAACACGAATCCTAAACTAGCTTCAACCCTGTGATGGATTATTCAAACACTAGATTTATGGCTTGGTATTGCATACAGTAGACACTTTCCATAGGTGATATACAAACTTTGACTGCACCAAAGGATTGCACTGTATTACAGCTGTACTTTACGTGCGCACTTCAACAGAGAGGCGCTGTGACTGTGTGGGAGAAGACACAGAAATAGAGAAGAAACCCCCTCTTTGACAGGTCGATAGCATTTACAACAAAGTGGCTCACTCCCGTCATTTAATCAACAATATGATGACTCTGTGTTGAGATCAATCCCACCACTGCTAACCTATAGTTATCATCTGTACAGGTGTGCTGGGGTGTGAGGGACAACCTCCCTTTAATGGCACCATTAAAAAGCAATTAACACAATGCTCAGCACTGGATGAGGACACCAACATGAAAAAAAAAATGCAATTTGCGCTTATTCCATGTGGTGTAAAAAATGTCTGGGTACTTCATCTTTTGTAGTGGCTTTAAGGTGCTTTAAATCTTGTGAAGAAACCAACTCTAGTTTTTCATACATTTCATGACAAAAAATTAAGAATTTGAATGTTGGGCAGAAATAGAAATAGTAATAGAAGCTTTCTGACCAACCTCAGTTCAACATTCTTTGTAAAAAAACAGTTATTAAGAACACTTTATCCTCAGGAGCAGCTTGCAGATAGTTTATCTACTCCATCGCTGTTAGGCCCAATCCTCTCTACTCCGCCTCTTCATCTGCTCCCCGGGGTGGCAGAGGGAGCAGCGGTGACACACCAGGGGAGGCAACTTGCACATTAATGGCCGATTTCTAACAGTTTCTACTCTGGCCTTCTGTCACCAGTGGCGGTGGTGGAAAAGTTAGAAGCCCCCCCCCCCCCTCTGGGTTCTAGAAGAGATGAAGGCCTGGGGAGACAGGTCGGGCTGCCTCTGAGGACAAGTTTCTCGCTGAGAAATCACACGGGTCATTAAATCTTGACGGGAACTGTCCTTCGCTGTCTGCACTTCTGCCGGGACACACCGAGGCTCAGGAAAGCAGCGGCAGAGAGAAACACAACACAAGCCAACACTGCCATGGTTACAGCGCTACTGAGGACTGCAAAACAGACAAGGGTGACTCTCCTCCCTCCTCCTCCTCCTCCTCCTCCTCCTCGCCTCCACCTTCATCCCTGCTTTCCTTTCCCCACCCTCCTCCTGTCATTCAAAGCTGCTAAGCACGCTCAGCCAAGCAGCACTCATGCGGCGTTTTTATTAGTTCGCCTTGTCATCGCCATCACTTCCGTGGCGTCCGGACGGGACAGCACTGAGCTTAAACAAACACGCGGGTCAGTCCCTGTGGTCCGCCTCTCCGCGGTCCCGCCTCGTCTCCCAGCCCTGATCATTCAGAACCAGAAGATTAATTAATGAACACGAGAAACTGATCCAAGAAAAGTGAGAGCCAAGATACAAGCGTCGAATATGTCACAGCTGGACTATTTTTAGGCGACAGATGATGCCGTCGTTTGAAGGTGAACTTGATGAAAACTTTGCTGTGAGAAAACGGCACGGGATAGGCCACATCAACCAGGGCGCCGAGCACCAGATAATGGCAGAGTCACAGATGCACTGCATATGAGTGACAATGATAAGGCAATTGTTGGCAGTTTGCCTTCCCTGTCAAACATCTGTGGCCAAAGACAAATGGCGGAGAAGAAGAAAAAAAACTATTTCATTAATCCTAGTTCTGTAATATTTTGCCCATTTCCTGAAGCAGCTCCTGATGTGGGTCAATTTTACAGATGACTGCTGTCCATCAGAGGCTGCACCAAACAACAATCAGCCAGGTATCAGAAGCAAAACAGAGAGGAGTAGAGAGGAGACAAAAAAAAAGAAGATATGTAAGGTTACAGAGAAGTGTCAACAGTCAGCGGCAGCCGTCAGTCTGACACATCGCCTCTTTCCCTGTCACTGACTAATAGCAGGGCTGTCCGTTACAAATTGCCCTGCGATTCAGTTTAGATAACACCAGACTGAGAAATCTGGATGGGGTGCAGAGGCGTGAAGGGACGGAGGCCGAGTTCAGGGCGACTCCGCTGTATTCGGGTCAAAGGGTTGTCAAGGAGACAATCAGAGACATAAGCGATGCTTGCAGCAAAGCCGATCTTCAGGAGGTGTAGGCGGTGGAACAATATGTGTATGCTTTTTGTGGCGATGATGGTGAAAGAGCTCTACTCTGGGCTTCCTGGTGCCTCAGGGATTCTAGATGTGTGCTGTGGACTGTACTGTTGGCATTGTCAGAGAGTGCCTGTGCCCACAACCCTCTCATTGTCCCCGTCAAGTGCATAGTTTGTTAAATCAAAAATAGACGCACTTAAGAGGAACAGTGTGTAGGATCCAGGGGGATTTATTGGCAAAATACTCAGAACTATGTTTACATTAGTGTATTTTCATCTTAAACTTAGAATCGTTAGCTTAGAAATGGCCATTTATATCTACATAGGGAGCAGAGTCTGCCATGTTGCACTTCCATCTTGCATCATCATGTTTCTACAGTAGAAGGACAAACCAAACAAGATAGAGCCTGTCACGTTGTATGTTACCTAAAGGCCAATGCAGCTCTCTGGCATGCTTGCAAAGGGAGGAGTAGGCAGCGGGTTTTCAGATGGATACAATCTGCGACCTCACCACTAGATATGCTCCTATAACTGGGTTTTTTCTGCATTGTAAAATCTTGTTCGGGCCAACCAAGGGCAATTTTGAGCCACCTAAATACGGCTAAATCAGTAGTGAAACATTCTAACTATACTCTCATCACTAGTAAAAGTAGATGGAATCAGTTTGTTGGTTTTCAATTGACAGGAGCATAAATCTTAAGCAAACATTAAGGACGGTACGGCAGGTGGAGCAAACTTGACTACACTAGGGCTTGTTATTATTTTCAATTAATCTGCAAATAATTTAATCATTTTGTCAATAAAATATCAGAAACTAAGGAAAAAATGCCTGGTATAATTTCCCATAACCCCATGGGATGTTTTCACATAGTTGAATATTCAATGGTTTTATTTGGATGCAGAAGAGCTTCGTGATGATCAAGATGTGAGCAAACAAGAGCAGAAAGGCTTAAAACATGAATGAGGTACATGCAGTGGTGTAAGGTATCTCAAGACACGGGCAGATATTTGTTTGTTTGACGCGTGTTTAGGCTGGTCTTGGTTGAGGAACGCTTGAAAATTTAAAAGGAAGTGGCTGTCATCTTTCATGGAATCAGAGTAGCTCCAAGCAACTTATAAACATCGCTGTTGAAAATAAATAAAAATGGATGAAGTCATGACACCTGAAAAATGTGTTTCTGTTCTGTTCCTGTTAAATGAATTCAAATAGCTAAAGAATAACTCTGCTGTGACAGTGTTGTTAGTTTTGTCAAAAAAGTGTGTGTATAAAAGCATTAAATTGGTATTCTAGTGGTTTCGGTGTGGGAGGTGATGAAGTCAGACAGGCTGTGACTCCGAAACACTATTTCTGGGTCAATTTATAGAAGTAGATTTGAAGAAAAAAAACAAAAAACGTGAGTCATATTGCTGGGTAATACTGAATGCACAAATACCACTCAGTGGGTTTATGTTGACAACAGATGAAAACAAAAATGCATGCATCTCTTCCAAACATGTCAACCCCTGTTGACTGTAACTTTGGAGAAAAGTTGGAAAAGCTGCTGAAAATCTTTCCATCAGAACTTCAAACAAAAGCATGATGAGTAGGAGTTATGGAGGGCAGCAGGTCCTCTCACCAATGCTCTGCAAAACAAATCTCTAATCTATCAGCACAAGTACTTTTAGTTTGGATTTGGACGACTAACCATTTGCTCATACATTTGTATTTATATGTAACCCTACGTTACTCTTGGTTTTCACTTGAGTACACAATATAACTAAAGATACATAGGAGGTAAATTATCTATGAGGTAAATCCAGCATTGATAAGAACCAGAAGGTAACTGTCTAGATATGTTAATAGTGTTTCAGGTTGATACAGGTTTCCTGGTTACATCACAGAATGTTGACTCTCCTTCTTGTCAGCCACGACTAAGGTCATCCCAGTAACTTATTATCAAGCACGAGCAGAATGTTAAAAAAAAAAAAAACTGCTTCAGACATGGGAACGTCATCTTTCAAAGCTTCTTACTTTTCTGCATGTTTAATCACTGAAAAAGTAAAGAAGACATTTATTACCAACAATGCAAGATGTTTCAGCGGATCTCATTCTCTTTCTCTAATGTCTCACAAAGCAGAACCTACACATTCAAAAATAAAACCTGAAAATTGAAATGCTACATTCTGTGATATTCACACCCACTTTGCTCTACTTAAGTTCACCGCATTACAATTTAAATTTGTGTAACTTTGAACTCAAAGGTTTGGCAAAATGTTAAAAGGTGGATTGTCCAGGTGCTTCATCCATCATAACACATTGAATCTCAGCTTGAACACCTCTACATTTGGTGAGAAGTGAAGATTTATGCGGAGCAAAATCCATGTAATTCAAGCATCATCTGCACAGAAGCTAAAGTTATTTCAACAGCCTAAAATTGCAAAAAAAAAAAGAAAGCTTATAGAAAAGTAGATGAACATATATAGAAAATAATCTATAGAGAAATGTTCTCTTCAGCAAAATAAATATATTGTAGGCATAGATATTTAAGTTTTTCAAAACGGGATTAGATTTTTATTCTTAAAGTGACACAGGAATCCATTACCTGCAGCAACCCGGCCTGTTTAAGAGCAAGCACCCCCATAATGACCAAAGTAGTCCGTTTTCCACGGATATGTAGATAACAGCTGTACTGACTTTAACAAATATCCATTTTATATATTAAAGCCACTGGGGGGCGAACGGGAGAACTTGTTTGGACACGTGTTCCACAAACATTTCACTGTCCAATGCGCTGTCTTTCTTTCGATCCGTTAATCCATTAATTCAAATGCATATTGACACCTTAACGGAATACCACAGGTTACTTGACAGGATAATATAAGACCAGGAAACTTCAAACTGACATGCCGGTTGACACGCCACCTTGACACGGTCAAAAACTGTTAACTTTCCGTCCACACACACCTGATTCTCATTACCAGGCACTTAAAAAGTTCACATCATACGGGAAATTAAAACCAGTATACCGGTTGAACCGGTATACCTCCCAGGCCTACGTCAACAGCAACAAGAAAAAACAGCCCATGGCCTGAAATCTGTCTCTCTCTTCCTCACACGTACACGGATCATGTGAGGACACTGCATTCCTTAACCAAAAGAAGAAACAAGGGTCTTGTGAGTCTTTTTAAAATTTGCACACTTAACCAATTACCACCAATAGGAAAAGCATGCATGCGAATCAGTCAGTTTTATGGGAAACTTCAAACACACCGACAGTGACTTATAAAACTAGGTCTGACTACATGCCACACAACTTTGGCACAGACGTGGCTTAGCCTAGTTGTTTCTGAGAAACTACATGAAATTTGCACCATCTCCAAAATGGGTCACTTCATAAAGTTCAAAATGAGGGTATTAATAGCCCTCAACCAACTTGTTTCCCCCCCCCAAACACCTCCATCACCCTGATGCCTCAACTCACCAAGCAACTTATTTAATTAAAAAAATCTGTCAAATTATAAAACTGGATTTCTTTGAAATGAGATCACTGGTTAACTCATTTGTCAATAAAAAAAAAAAGTTTTAATCAAGGGGGCTACAATTACCCTAACAGGGAAAAAGAGTTTAAAAATATATAATAATAATAATAATAAATGCTAATAATTAACCAGGGTAATTGAACCCACTCCACATTGTAATCTGTGATGTGTACTTAAGCACATCTGTAAAGTTAAATTATTAACACAATGTCAAAGATTTTCATTGAAGTATAAGATACCATTTACAAACCTGCAATAAATACTTGGAGGTTGTAATTTTGATGGATTGGGTTTAGAAAGGATTGTGGTGCCTTTGAATTGTAATGCGCTTTTCTGAAAGGTATTTAAAATACTTTACTGGAGTTTCATGATTAGTTTGAGGTAAGTGGACCTTTGATTCACCATATATTTTAAGATATCAATTAGGAAAACTAAGTTACACTATCCTTGTAGCTACCCTAAAGTAATGTAACAATCTGCTGACTCAGCAGAAACATTGCTTTGACAAAAACACAGCCTTATCTGTTACATAATTACCTCAAAGTAGAAAGTTAATATTTTCTCGGTACTCCTGCAGTACACTTCATTTTGCACTTTGAACTTTATATTAGGGGGCCTTTCTGAATACCCAGACTTGTATTATTTGCATAGTTACCAGGATTGAGGCTTTTCACTTGAATTAACAACAACAAAAAGCAGCTTGTATAATTCTGATTGATTATAGAATAACTTATTTAAGTTACCGTCACTAAATAACCCAAAATAGCTTGTTACATTGGGATTTGTTGGTGATACAGAGACGCGTGTTGATCGCTGCTGTTTCTTGTCCCACATGATGAAACTGCAGTGGCTGTTGCATCATTACGTGGATGCAACTGCAGCAACATAACACTGAGAGCTAGCCTGCTAGCTTATCTGCTAACAAGCGACCGACATGTCAAATGTGTCACACGAACAGGGCAGCAAAGACAGCTAACGTGTAACTGACGGAGTTATTCTTACATTTGGTGACTTGTTAAAGCACAGGTGGTCAGTTAAACCCCTCACACCTGTAGTAACCGTATTGACGTTAAGCTAGCTCACGGGTCAACCGTACAGAAACGACAGCTAAGGTAACTTAACTACCCAACTCAAGCACACCGTAATATAAGCAGTGACTCATAACCAATACTGTATAATACACGTACCCGCGTGACTCGTCTCAGAGCGAAGGACAGCATGTTTCCAGTTCTCAGGGCAGATGCAGACGGACAGGCTCAACTGACTCCGAAGACGTTGTTGTGCAACGTGTGGCTACGTTTCACCGGCCGAAAGGGTTGCTGGGAAATGTAGGTCGTTGTGGAGAACTTACGCAAGCCAGCAGTGACAGGTACCCACTACTGCTGTATCTCTCTCTCATTGTTTTCAGTGGTAGAAGAAGTATTCCAACCTTTTCTAAAGTAAAAGTAGAAATACCACTACCGTTTAAAATAATGTTGTTTTTTTGCTTTTGATTAGCCAAAGAAAAAGTAAAGTTTCATCATCAGAATATAGGCTACTTAAACTTCTTATATTTCTTATTGTTATGTACAGTCTATGTACTTAAAGTACCAAAAGTAAAAGTTCTCAATTATAAAGATTGGCCCATTTCACAATTACTTATCTTATATGATTCTTGTTATTGATGCATTAACGTGTATATAATAATACATTTTATTTGTATACAGCTTTTGAAGGTACTCAAAGACATTTTACATGGTAAAAACAGAATAAAAGCAATATTAATATAAACAAGTACAAAAAGTACATTTGCTTCTGTGTCGTGGAGTAGAAGTAACCTATAAAGGAGCAGAAAATGGAACTATTGAGATAACCTCAAGAACAACTACCTTTAAATTGTACTTAAGTACAGCACGTGAGTAAATGTAAACTACTTTGTTAATTTCCAGCACTGATTTTACTCATTCATCTTCTATATCATTTAATTTGAATGGCCACAGGATGACTGAGCCGACAAGTGAAGAGTGAAAGCAGTTATCACTTATTCATTATTTTTTCAATACATATCTACATTGTTAATTATGTGCAAGTCTACATCTGTGACATGTGAATGCACACCACACCTCTGAACTTTGTCAAAGCAAAAAGATTTCAAGCAAAACATTTGTCTTGCTTGCTGTAAGCAATTGTGTTATCTTGTATGAGTCAGGTCTTTGTTCAAACCGGTTTGATAACGCATTGGTACTTTTTGCACTTTTTTGCCCAATAAATGTTGAGAAAGGCAACAAGTGCTCTTGCACCACAGTATTACGTAGAGTACCTTGTTGGCCTAGGGATTAAAGTGCCCACCATGAATTGTGGTTTGAGTCCAGCTGCACGTTCTTCCTCATCGCTCTCCTCCCCTCATATCTTTGAAATCCTGGGTCTCTAATCGTCACAGAGCAATGCCCAAATTAGTATTTTCTTGTTTCATGCAACTTTGACATGAAGAGCAGGTCATGATACTATTAATTAAACTTCCTTCCAAGCAAAGAACGAGAGGTGGCTTCACACTATGATTTAGGCAATCACTAGAGGTGCCTGTAAGGGCAGATTTCAAACTAGTGTAAAAAATTCCATTATCAAGACCAAGTTCTGAGACTTTGTGTACTTCATCAAGACAACCTATAAATGTTGATAATTTATTTTTATGAAGATTTCTCATAAGAGAAAAACTGATAAGATGATCGATTTCCATTATCTGCAATAGTTTACAGAAGGAAATCATTTCAAATACTGACAAAAAAAATCTGTTTTTGAGATACAGTTCTTAAATTTACCACACAATGTTGTAATTTTTTTTTCATGAATGAGATGTGTTTAGCTACGAAGCGTCCAACCATTTCTGTTCACCAGGGCATACATTTTGGTGAAAGTTGCAAAGTGCTGGCACGCATGGCTGATTTGTTATGATTTTCTTTAGACTTTAGACGGTTGCTGTAGCACCACCATCAGGACTACTGGTCCACAAAGCCAGTCAATGAAGTTTGGCTAAGGAGCTTCTGGCCGGCCCTGAATAATCTGGCATGGATGAATTAAACATTTTTGGAAAACATTTGGTAACATAGAAAGAGATGTTCTGAATGTAATATTTTATTTCTGATCGGTGTTGCCTCGTGATTAGACATTTTCCCATAATAGAGGTTAAAAGTGGTTACAAGTTTTACATGTGTCACCATATTTATAAATTAATGTGTCAGTTATTAGGTGCTGTCAGTGTCTGTAATCTCAGTGGATTAAAATGTCGGCGTCAGAGACACACACACACACACACACGTACGGCCACACACAAAGGAGTACATAAGCATCTGTCCACAACAACTAGTGCAGTGATTCTTCACCAACCCACTGTAGAGAATCTGTCACAAAGAGGGGAACTCTGGAGAATCTGGGTTGCGGCGACTCCATCAATCTCTGTGTCCCAACTGGCCACAGCAACTTGTATAAAATACATGGACTTCCCTGGACCTCCATCTCAATGCCATTGATCAAAAGCATAACAGGCTATCGAGCCTGAGTGAGATAAAGATTCAATTAGCGTCGATTGTATGTTTTCTAATGAAATTTTGAGCACCATTAGCGTCAGATCAAAAAGTGTGGAGAGCAAAGAGTCTGTGTTGAGAGAGAAAAAAGGGAGTTGCAAGGTGGATGTGCTTAATTTAATCATGAAAGAGGTGGGTGAGTTGTTCTTTTTTTTCAGTTTTTTCCTTTAATCTGGGTGCATATATTTATATATAGCAATGATGCAACTATCCTGATTCATTTTTCCATAAATTGGAAAACAAAACAGTTAGAATAAAGAAAACAATGAAGTAAATATTTATAAGTCGCTGAGATCATAACAGTGGCTCCAGTAATACAGCAGTCAGGAAATTGTGACAAAGCCATCTGGAGGTTTAGGTGCAACGGAAAAATGGCTGCTCTTACTTCCTTTGCTCGCACGATCAAACAAACAGAATCTGTCAGTCATATTGCCTCCAATACAATAGTTATTTTTCCTTTCAGTTTCAGGGTGAATGTAATTAAAATTATATCAGTCACCTTGCTAGGATTCAATTACTGTACACACCAACTCCCTCAAAAGGAGTTATCATCATTTTAAGAATGTTTCACAGTTGGTTTTCAAGTTAAAATTCAATCCTCCCCTTCAATATGTTTCAGAAAATTAAAATGACATATCTTCACAGGAAGCTTGGGCAGGAGCTCCCAATCAGAGTGAAATGTAACTTAATTCATAATTGCGTCCTTGCTAAGTTAGATAACGTGAACATGCTGCACAGCTTGTGCCCTTCAATTGTGCTTGTAGCTCTGAACAAAAAACATTCACCCAGTAAAAGACAGACGGTTTAAGAGATTTTAATGTGCTTTTTCATACAGTATATTGTATGCATATCCAGCATAGCATTTCTCATACATATAACTCTCTTATATCCAGGGAAACGTAGAGCTGAGAGGATGATTAACAGTCAGTCTACCATAACATTATGTCTGCCATACAGGGATGGCACAGCACAGCTGCCTCAGAGGGTCCCTATGTACTCGGAGGGCATAATACTGATTCCAGCTGTTTTCAACCGAATTCTCCAACTGCAAAAAGGAATAACAGAGAAACAAATATCTAAAAACAATAAGTGTGCTGAGGTTGAGTACATTATTTACAGAAAAAAGCAGACGAAAACAGAAGTTAACAAATACAAAGTTGGAAAATAAGTCAGAGAAATCAGCCATATCCTAACCATCCATAACTCGATTATACTTGATTTAAAACCACAATTCACAGCAGTTTAGAGGCAAAAAACTGTCCCCTGCTTCTTCATCGTAATCAATATGACTATGATTTCCATCATTATCATTATAATCATCATCGGTCATCAACATTGTCTCTTTTTTTTCCCTCTTTGCAGTTCAGTCTCACTTACTTATCCCAAGTAAGGGTGCTCACTTTGGAAGTTGTAGTCCGGACACACTTTTTGAACCAGCTTGTAGTCGATGCTGAAGAAAGAGATGAAGATGCAGATCACCTTGAAGGGTTTGGCACAGAGCCAGGCAGCGTGGGACTGGGTGTGCTCCGTGAAGCAGGTCTGAGAAGGGTCGTACAGGCAGGGTTTGGGCTTCTTGGATCTGTTGGTTTTCTCATACTCCACCCGACAGTTAAAGGTCTTTGTCTCCTTCCGGTTGATGGTGGTCTGCTGGGTCTCCTGGATCTGGACGTTCTGCTGAGTGTGGGGGTGCAGATGCTGGACTACTTCAAACTCCACCACTTTGGTCGGTGGCACGATACTGACCGACACGTTCCCCAGGCTAGACGAGTTGTGGCGGAAGTAAACAGTGAACGTCCCATTAATGTGGTCCACAATCTTCCCTGTCACCAACAAGCTGAACTTCAAGGTCTTGACGTTAAAGTAGAAGTCTCCCCAGCCGAAGATCTTCTTGGTCTTCATGGATGTCTTTTGTGAGGGCTTGCGCTTAGAGCGGTATCCTGTCTGGTCCAGGAGCAGGGACTGGTTCCGGGCCGAGTCGTATGGGTTAAAGAAACTGTAGGTGGGTGGCTTGGATTTCATGGGTGTCTGGTCAATGGAAGTGGAGAAGATACGGGTTTGGTACGGAGGCTTAACCACCCCTCCTGTTGTTCCTCCCACTGTGCCTCCACCCATGCCATATGGAAGAGTCTTCATCACCGACCCCACTGGGCCCAGTTCTGAGAACTCCACCTGCTTCTCCAACCCTTGGACCTGGAGAAAAGAAAGCCAGATAAAAGAAGAAGAAGAAAACATTATTCACAACGGGCCAAAGACTATTCAATTTAAATTTTCACATATTCTGCAGGAGAAAAAGCAACAGCCGTTTTAGTTTAATCTCTACTTAAATGTTTTGTCAACACCACAGTTTGCCACAACTTGTAAAATACAACTGTAATGATGTTAAAACAAACTGGCAGTAGTTTAAATTGTATTAAAAAGCCAGATTGCTGATTGTTTGGGAAATGAAAATGAACGACAACTGATCAGGCGGGAATTCGACCCAGTTAAGGGAAACCAATTCGGGATACATATCTGTCTTAATCCTTGAAATGTCTGTCCCGCATCAGCCACAGTGCTGCATTGTGGAGCAGTTAAAAGGTTCTGCACCTTGCTCAAGGGCACTTATTACACTGTGGGCAATATACGATGCATGTAATACCAGCCCTGACAAAGCCAGAATACACTGCTCTCAGTCCTGGAAGTTGAACCAGCAACCTACAACCTTTAAGCCACACTGAAGACATCAGCTATTCAGAAATTTACATAAAATTTGATCTGGACAAAAAAGCAATGTCCCATTTCATTTCACACACATTATCATAATCCGAAGTGTTGTATAGGTCACTCCTCTTTTTACCTCACGTGATTTGTTCTTCCCCGAGCATCCAAATTGTTGGATGTTTTATATTTCATCCCTTGAATTCAAGAAAACAAAACCATCTATTTTTGTTAACACACTTTAATTTTGTTGTCAGTGTTTGCTCCGGAGAGAAAAACAACTCTGCATGTAAGGTAATGGATGTGAGCCTCTGTTAGTTCAGACAGCTTTCTGCCTTTAATCCACAGCCTATTGGTTATTCGCGGGCTGATTGACTAGAAGTCTTCCTCTCCTCTCTTTCATGTCTCATTAATCACATCACTGTCATGCTACCATCCATATGTATATATGAGGACACTTTAAAACACACACACACACACTGGAGCACACAGGCGCATTTGCACACATGCAAATTTCAAGCTCAAAGCTGTCATGAAGTGACAGAGAGAAGTATTACAGCTATTCGGAGGGGTTACATGTGGATCCCCTGAGGATGCATTTGGATGGAGTTATAAACTGTTCTAGTAGATAAACAAACCAAAAAATAAATGAAAACAGCCTTTCAAAACAAGTTCAGGATCAGATCTTTGTGTCTTCTCATGCAAGGACGTCTGCCTTCATTCTTATCCAGGGCAGTGGAACCGACAGGTTTGTGCCAAAGCGCTCCTCATCTTTCATCAATCACTGAACCTAATAATAACTCCATATTGCTATTCGCAGAGGCAACAGTGCAGCGCTCAATACAGCTCCTAATGTATTCAGTCATTCAATTAATGTATCTATGTCTGTTGGCCATTCATTAACATGCCTGCAGAGCTGATTTCTACGTAGATTGATTGAGGGGAAAATAACTGAAAGTTTATTGACTACTGAAGGAATGAATTACCAAAAAACGACAGGTGCTGATAAATGACCAGTGACTGGGATAATGACCCACTGAAGATTTTTAACAGACCTCAACTCCCTTTGGTGTCATGACAGGGGGCCGATGCAGTGGTCTTGCAATTTTAAGCTGGTGAATTGGTGATGTGAGCCGATTTTGGCGCTGACAGGTAGGAATAAGCCACAGTTGATGGCAGAAAAACACCACAATATGTACAGCAACAAACAGTGTGTACAGTGCATGCTAGATAGGGCTTCCTGTGAACGCGCTGTCAGCAGTGCTGTCAGCTAGCTCCATGTGTTGCCATCTGTCAGACTAACACTCTGCTGGTGCAGTCCTAATCATTTCTCTTGCGGATGGCACGGAGCTCGAACTAGCACCATCATCATAATCCTTAACAATCTTCAGCGGCAACATCACGCTAGGAACCTCAACCTAACCTTCAGGGTCAACTGTATGAAGCTCAAAAATGATTTTGTGAAGGGGTCTGAGGTCGGCGCGGGTCTTTTTCAAGGGGCGAAAAGCAACACAGTCAGCAACTTTAATAAACATCGATTGAGTGGAAAAAGATGAGTATGGAGAGAAGGCTTCTTCTTCTGTGGCACGAAAGTAATAAAATGCCAACAGAAACCAATGACTAGATGGACTTTCTATTAGCATAAATATGAAAAAAAAATGTGTGCTGGACAGTAAATCCATTTAAAGGGTGAGGATTTGTTAGAAGAAATATCAGATATTTTTTCTTGACATGAAATCCATATGCTATAGACTTTTTGCAAAACAGCGGATGTTTGCTATAAGGTCACATCAGGCTGCCGCAACTGGCAAGAGATTGACGGTTTGAAAAATAGAGCTTCATGCTTTTTCTTCCTCCTCAGCCTCTATTCAGTTAGGTTACAATACTTGAGAAGTAATTCTAAACCAAAGGGATGTTGCTGGGGATGATAAAGAGGCTCTAAATCTCTGTGGTGCACACAGTAGATAGATACACTGTATTTACACACTGAGCAACTCAACTAGAGAGCATATTTTAGTCCCATACATGCATGTATTTAATTTACTTTAGTTACTTTTATCTAAATATACTGCAATTCTGGGAAAAGCATAGATTAGCAGGCGAATTACCTCAGATGTATTTTTTTACTCTCTGCTATCTTATGTATCAATTTAGTCCTATTTATGCTTATGCTTAAACGTCTTCATAAGAACGTAAAGTATCAAAGTAAGTATTGTTTCAATTGCATAAAAACTGAAATTACAGACATGCTGTGTGTAACTTTAGGAGAAGATATATAGTAGAGGCTTGTTTAGGAAACAGAAGGTAACCTTTGCAATGATTACCACCTGGGAGATGTGTATCACATTTTGTTTGAATGTTAAGCATGCAAGCATAATGAATAACAGGAAAAGGTGCTTGACATACTATTTGAATTGGCTATTTATGGTTAAGTATATTTTGCAATTACAATGGGATAAACCAAAGATTATATGCAAATTGCGTGTGTTCTTCAAAAATGTTTTGTCTCTGATGAGGTAATTCATGTTCGCTAGCGCCTTTGTGAGGCAGTACTTAGTGACAGCGGTGCTTTGAGTTAATGCTAAAATCCCCATAACATTCAAATGAAAACGTCATTAGTCTTGCAGGTATTTCGTCAAAAACGTAAGTACTGGATGAACTAAAATGACCCGCTTTGCGAGAAAGGGATTGATGGACGGACGGGCAACCCAAAAACATAATGCCTCCGGCCGAATAAGGCTTCTATATACAAAGTTATTACACATGCATGTCTGTACCAAAATGAATGGCAATCCATTCAATTGCTCTCGAGGCGTCTTACAAAAAAGTGAACCAGATGGTGGTTCTAGAGGACAAATCAGGGGATCATGAAGGTCATTAAGATGTATCCTCTGGGGACCATGAATCTCTTTACAAAATGTCATGACAGAACGCTAGCATGGCTTGTTATCTGAATCCAATAAAGGTAAAAAACACAGTGGCTTTACCTTTCCGATCTCTTTTATCACATTCGATATAAAACTGTGCCATAAGAAAAAACAGCACCTTTAACAGAGACAAACCATCTCAGGGTTGTGTGAATTTTAACCATTCAGACCACTGCAATAACTAAATAAATGTAAAAGAAAACTTGACTTGGGGGGGTGCCTTGGGTTCTTCCAAGCTGCAAAGTTCCCCACATAGTGAAGCTTTACACACATCAACACGGCTTTAGTGTTTCCTCCATTTAAGATTGAGATTCCTGTTTGGGAGCATGAGATGGAAAAAGTATAGTGGTGGACTTATACATATGTATGATATAGGCAACTCAATAACCGCACAATCATAGAAAGAACAATCAGATTACAGAGCTTGGGAGATAGAGGGAGATAGTGAAGAAAATATTATTAGCGGAGAAGTGAGATGAGCAGCGGAGAGGGAGTAAGGAGATCTTGTACATTTTCTAGGAACAGGGAGCATTAATCATCGATAACTTCATTTGGAAGTTCATATGAGCAAAAAAGCATCTTCAGTTGCTGCTTAGATGGCACGCCTATAACCTAGCTGGAAGTACATGCGAGAATGAAATGTAGGAGATGTTCAATGAGGAGATTATGAGTGTAGCTCAGAGTGAGTGACAGAAAAAGTAGACACACATATTGGCAGATAGAGAAGGGCTCAGAGAGAGAAAGAGAACGACAGGTTGGAGCGGTGAAGGGATTCACACATGCTTATTAAATAACAGAAGGTCAGATGACTCTCTAGAATTTACTGCTGAAACCCGACATATCACATGCCACCACAATTAAGATCTCTTTTCATCATTAAGAAAGCGTTGGATCAATGGTAGCGCCTCTGATCGCCCTTTCTTTCACACTCTCTCTGTCTATCGGGTATCTGATCCTCCGTCGGGCAGTTCGCTCTCTCACCTTCATCTATAACTTCCACACCTCCTTGATAGCGAGAGTATTCAGAGGGAATGGACCTCGCTTACCGGCTCCCCAACACACATCCGACTTCCTCTCCCGCCTCCCGCCCTCCGTTCCTTCACCTCCAGAAGGACTGATGAGAAAATGAAAGCTACTTGTCTCAGAGCTCTCTCTCCCAGGCTTGTTTCTTTGTTTAATTGGAGTTTTATTGGTGACAATCAATTTATTTCTATCTGTGCTCCAGGCTGCATTGATCTGCTGTCACAGAGAAGAGTCAAATGTACAGTTCCACTCCCACCACACTACAGACTCTGATGCCAGCTACTGACTTTTACTACTTTACTGCTTGTTATGATTAGAAGCAGAAATGGATTTTGTTCTTTCACATTTTTCAGGTTAACCTCATAGTTCCTTGAGAGGAGTAAGAGAGGCTGCAAACTATTAATACGCAGTGAGAGGAGACACATTCAGGATGAGATGTTGAATGCACATCAGTTTTTACTTTGAAGTCACTATTTACCTTAAACGCTCCCAAATGCCATTAATCTGTTCAAGCTGATGGTGGAAAAGCCTAACATCTTACGT